AAATATTGCTTGCTCAATTTTAATTGGTTAAAATTATTTCTAGAGCTTTGAAAATTCCACTAAAAATCATGTTAATGAATTTCGACATGTAGAACTCAAGAAAAATTCCACATGCCAATTCCGATTATTATTTGCATTGATTTAAAAGGGTTTACTCTTGCTTTGCACCGGTATTTTCTTAGGGTCATTTATAAATTAAATTTAGGCTTGGGAGGAGAACTTCGGGGTGTGACACCGTTCGACTTGCATTTTGTTGCACGCACTGCTATCAAGTCTCAAGTGCTAGCTGACTTCGTAGCTGAATGGACACTGGTATTCGCCCCCGAGCCCGAGCCCGTCGAACAATTCTGGGTGATGTGCTCCGACAGTTCGTGGTCGTACAAGGGGGCAGGCATTGCGGGAGTCCTCATTTCGCCGAATGGTGTGCCGATTCGGTACGCTGCAAGGCTGCAGTTCGACACAACCAACAACGCAGCAGAATACAAAGCCATTCTTCTGGGCCTAAGAAAAGCGAAAGCACTGGGAGTCCGGCGCTTGCTAATCCGAACCGACTCCTAGTTGGTGGCTAGCCATGTTGACAAATCCTTCGAGGCAAAAGAAGAAGGGATGAAGAGGTATTTGGAGGCCGTTCGGTCCATGGAAAAGTGCTTCACCGGTATAACGGTCGAACACTTACCTAGAGGCCAGAACGAGGAAGCAGACGCCTTGGCGAAATCTGCTGCTTGTGGTGGCCCACATTCGCCTGGCATCTTTTTCGAAGTCCTGCATGCACCAAGTGTGCCCATGGACAGCTTAGAGATCATGGCAATCGACCAGGTGAAACTGGGCGAAGACCCATGCGACTGGCGAACCCTGTTTGTGAAACACCTTGAAACTGGCTGGCTTCCGGAAGACGAAGCAGAAGCAAAGCGCTTGCAACTCAGAGCCACGAAGTATAAGATAGTCTCGGGCCAGCTCTATCGCTCTGGGGTACATCAACCCTTACTTCGTTGCATCTCTTTTGCCGAAGGCGAGGAAATGGCAAAGGAGATACACCAGGGGCTATGTGGCGCGCACCAGGCCGCAAGAACAGTGGCCTCCAAAGTGTTTAGACAAGGAGTTTATTGGCCCACTGTGTTGAAAGTCTATGTTGAGCAAATCAAGAAGTGCGAAAGTTGCCAGCGTCATGGCCGAAGCCAAACCGCGCCCCAGTATGATTTGCAGCCCATTGCGCCAATATGGCCCTTCGCCAGATGGGGACTGGACATCATTGGGCCGTTCCCGGTGGCGCGAAACGGGTATAAGTTCGCAATTGTGGCTGTGGAATATTTCTCTCGATGGATTGAAGCCGAACCCCTCGGAGCAATCACTTCGGCAGCAGTACAGAAGTTTGTATGGAAAAACATTGTTTGCCGTTTCGGAGTGCCAAAAGAGTTCATCACTGACAACGGCAAGCAGTTCGACTCTGACAAGTTCAGAGAAATGTGCGAAGGACTTAACCTAGAAATCAGGTTCGCGTCGATCGCGCACCCGCAGTCAAATGGGGCGGCCGAATGTACAAATGGCAAGATCCTAGAAGCACTAAAGAAAAGGCTCGAGGGGGCAGCGAAGGGCAAATGGCCAGATGAAATGCTATCGGTTCTCTAGGCCCTTCGGACGACCCCCACAATACCAACCAAGTTTAGCCCGTTCATGCTTCTTTATGGTGATGAGGCAATGACCCCAGCAGAGCTAGGGGCTAACTCACCAAGGGTGATGTTCTCTGGGGGCGAAGAGGGGCGCGAAGTGTCGCTCGAACTCTTGGAGGAGGTAAGAGTCGAAGCACTCGAGCACATGCGCAAGTATGCCACAAACACTTCGGCAACTTACAACAAAAAAGTTCGACCGACGGAGCTGATGCCTGGTCATCTTGTCCTAAGGAAGAAAGCGAACCCGATTGCTGGTGGCAAGCTTGAATCAAAATGGGAAGGACCATACCTCATCAAGCACAAGTCCAGGACGGGATCTTTTCGATTGGCGACACTAGAAGGTGACGAGTTCGACCATTCCTGGAACGCCGCCTCTCTCAAGCGCTTCTATGTCTAGAATGGGTGGCAACCAAATTGCAAACTTGTAAAAATGTGCATATCGTCATGTAAGCCCTTCGGCACTATGTAAGCCTTTCGGCAAGAGAAAAAAAAAGAAAGACAAAAAAAACTGGATGTAGGGCTATTATCCACCACGGAGGCCCGAACCAGTATAAAACCTCTGTGTCCTCCGCCTTCTTTTTATTTTTGTGTGATTGATAATTTGTGGAAAAACCCCAAGGCAAACGCCTGATCAGCGAAAAAGGCTAGGGGGGCGAAACGAATCGGCCGAAGCATCGCTCGCTGAACGTTGAAACTGCAACAGCTTGTCTCGGAAAATAACTAGCCGAACGCCGTTACGTTCGATCAACGTAAAAACAAAAGCGTTTCTTTCAACACAGAACGCTATGGATCGAAAACGAACGACAAAAAGCTGAAAAGTCAGTACACCTATTTCGCTAATATACGCAAAGGGGCCGACATGTTCCGACCTAACAAAAGCACAAAAGGTGACAATGCAAAAAATAGCGAAAAGGGAATAAAACACATCTTTATTAACTTCGAAAAAATAATCGAAGAACAGAAGGTTTACAATACGATACAACCCAGCTTACAAGTAAATTACATCTTCGCCCCCATAATCACTATCTCTCCGAAAGGAATGGTCAGGCGAACTAGGTTCGTCATCACTACTAATATCATACACAACCCTAAGAGGAGTAGGGGGCGAAACACAGACGAAACTGTAACGACGCTGAGAGATCGCTTCCTGACAATTAGTCTTCTGGTGGTTTCGCCAAAACGAGCCATATCCTCCAAACGTCTTGAATGAGCAAGATCGTAGTCTTCTAAGGTTCGCCCGGGGTGCGCCCGCAGCCAGCCGGCAACCTTAAAAACCTTATAGCTGCGACCGTTTATCTCCATTTCGCAATAAATAGGCCGAAATGGACATCACACCTTCGGCAGACCCTTCAATGCCACGAATTTCTCGTTTTGACTTCGCCAGCTCCCAGAAGGGGGCCGAATGCACGACTTTCAGCGAACACCCAGGTAGATAGTGCAGAAAGGGCAAAACACCATTTACATAGTAAGAATATGCGAAAGAAAGGGAAGGTATGGCATAATGCGAAATGAGCGAAATAATAATACGCCAAAGACTTCGACCATCAAAAGTGGCTAAGATTGTGTCATACATTCCAAATATACAAAAGGCCTTTTTCGGCTACAATAAGGAGGGTTAGCGGCAGCCTGCCGAATATACATCGTTTGCCTCTCCAGGCAAACGCAAAAAGAAGAAGGAAAGCTACAAAATCTAAGGAAAGGGTGGAGGGCCTCACACCTCTGGGTGATCCTGGGCATCGCCTCCAACCTCTTCGCCTGCTGCGTCCTCTTCTTCGCACCGGTCTGCCGCCTCCGCCTTCGCTAGTTGCTCCAAAAGGCGCGCCTTGGCAGCGGACCGGCCGTCCTTCTGCTAGAACTATTTTCGCCACGCGCGAAGAGCGGGCGAAATGTTCTGCGCACTAATCTCCCAGTCCCCCTTCACATAGTTAGGGAACTCGGCGACGTGCTCGCAGCCGAACTGTTGCAAAAGGCCCAAGGTGAAGGCCGTCGATACGCGCGCACAGCAATCGCCGTACACGGTGGCGCAGTCTGAAACCGAACCGCCATCCTGCTGGGTCCACTCGGAGAAGTCGAAAGCTGAGACATCTTCGGCAGGGACCCCTCGCACCTTCGCGCTCATGTCAGTAAGGGCGAGGTGGAGTGTTTGGCAAGCCGTTCTCGCGGATTCGGTGGTTTTCGCCATCTCCCGCGAAAACCGCTGCGACTCCTCCACAGCGCTCGCTTCGGCCTTGCTAACCTTCAGGCGAAGAGCCTCCATCTTCGGCTCAGTGAGGTTATAGTAATCAGTCAGCACAGCAGAATGGGCCTTCTCCTCCTTCAATTCGGTCTGCAGGCGATCAACCTCCGCTATGGCCTCTCTCTCCTTATCCAGTTCGGCCTTGAGGCGATCGACCTCGGCCCTGGCCTCTTTCCCTTTTTCCAGCTCGGATTGAAGGCGCTTGACTTCAGCTTTTGCCTCTCTGAGGGTGTTGGCGAGGGCCTCCACCTCCAAGTTCTTGCGGCTTATTTCGTCGTCCTTGTCCCGAAGACGGTTCTTAAATCCATCAAGACAGGCCCGCGCGGTTTGCTCTGTCGAACAGTGAGCCGCAAGGATCTGGATGCAAGATAGGGGCGGGCGAAGAGAACAAAATGTTAATTGTGAGACATGTAAAAAAAAGAAGAGGGCGGGAGAGGAAAACGAAGAAGGGAGAAAAAGCATACCCGAACCGCCAAGCTTTTAATAGCAGAACACCCCTCATCGAACTCATTCAGTTCGGTGAATAGGCTCGGGGTGCCGGCGGGTAGGACAAGATTGCTTACTCCCTCCACAAAGGAAATAAGGTCCGCCCGGGTCTCGAAATCACCAGGGGCAAAGTGGGGCGCCGCAAGGGAATACTCCGAGGCAGATGCTTCGGCGGCCGCACCCTTCCCCTTCGACTTGACCAACGGCGAAACAGCTGGTTCACGCAGAGGGCTCCCGAAGACCCTCGCCGCAGCTATCACGATCCGTTCGGCGGAGGTTGAAGCCCCGGCGGCGGCGCTACCGCCTTCCCCAGCAACGCCGAGTGGAAGAAGGGGAGCGGTCAAAAGGTCCAGACTGCGGCCAGTGGGTGAAGTCGGAGTCTCGTCAGAAGACTCGTCGTCGTTGAAAATACGAGCGATGTCGATGAGTCCTTTCTTTTGAGAGATCTTCTTGACTGGACCTCCCTTCGCCGCCTTGCCCGACGAGAACGAAACTAGGGCCTTCGCCCCTTCCAAAGCCTTTCGTCGAAGGGCGGAGCTGTTCGACTCCACCCCGGTTTCATTGTGACCTGGACTTGGAGTAGGAGTGTAGCCATGGGTGTCAGCGCGGTCTTAGATCGCCTCGTTCGTGGCTTTTTCGGCCACGGCCTCCACCTCCTCTTCCTCCTCTCCTTCCTCCTCGCCTTCATGCTCTTTGGCATCGTCCTCGTCGTCGGTGTCGGAGTCCGACGAAGCAGGAACCCTTCGCTTCCTAGGGGCAAGCTTCACTTGTCCGCGCATTCGCTTTCGCGAAGGTCCTGCATCATCGTCGGCTTTGTGGGGGTTCGCCCGGGGAGGCAATTCGCCGTTGTAAACCTGGTTCGCCCGCCCAGCCGCTTGTCGTGTCAGCAGCTGGCTATACTCGACAACCGACACGTCGCCGATCATCCTACGGGCTTCGGCTTCAGCCTGGTCGAGAGTCAACACTACAAAAGTAAAGGGTGTAGCTACATTAAAAGTCAGACAAGGCAAAATAACAAAGCACAGGAGTGTATAGCAAAAGAACAGTCTTACTGTTCGTTCCCTCAGGGAGAACCACGTTCGGCAAACCGTCAACCTCTTCGCCTTGATCAACCATGACTTGCCATGACTGGGAGAGGGGAAAGATGCGAAGCATACAGAATTCTTCCACCAAGTCGTGGCAGCTAAGGCGGGAGCAAACCTTGCGCAGCAGAACGAACCACGCCTCCATAGCGCCGTCCACGGCGATCTTGGGTTTCCGGTTTGGCGCAATCGCCCTACGCCGGCACCGGAGGGCTTTCGCCAAGTCGGAACCAGCCTCGAAGGGGATGGTGTGATAGAACCAACTCGCCATCCAATAGCGGTCCCACTTCGACATGGCAGCGTTCACCGGCCAGAGATCGGACCGCTCGGGGCGAACGTTAAAGTTCACGCTCCCGAACACTGTCTTCTTTGTTCCAGCTAGGGTAATCACCGTCTTCGAGTTCACGGTGGCAAAAAATATGGCGCTGAAGAGCTCGGCGCTAGGCTCAAACCCGGAAGTCCGGCACGCCCAGTCAAAGATGGAGATCCGAATTAGTGCTGACAGGCTCAACTGTGGAAGCTCCACCTAGAAAAGGCGAAGGATCTCCGGCAACAACACGTTGCACGGAAACCGTAGCCCCGCCTCAAAAAAGACGGCGAACACCACCGTCCGATTGTCGACAGGCTTCGGCACCACGGCTTTTCCTGTGGCGAAAGCCTGCCCCTCAACCAACACCCCAGAGCTGACCAACTTCGCCAGCTCGATGTTGTCCACGAGAGAAACCCCCAAAAAGGCGGTGCTATTGTCATCGACCCGGCCGGGATCTGGCCCTTTCGCCAAAGCAGGGTTTGGCTTGCGAGGGACCATGGCGAACGGTGTGTATGCGGTGGCGAAGGAAGAGAATGGGCGAAACACCTGAGGGGTCAAGAAATGCTGTGGAAGAAAGGAACGGAGGAAGAGAGCGCACGCGGTAAAAATGGCAAGTGTGGCGGTGAAAAGGAAAGAGGGGTGGGAATATATAGCTGACCCGGGCGACGGTTCGCCTACCCACTAGTAATAAAGCGCCATGTGTCGCAAGGGTAGGCGAAACGGTAAATTCCCACCGACCGAGCAGCACAGTAAAAAAGCCCACGAAGGGAAAGCCCAATACTGTCCCTTTCGGCCTAGGAAAAGTAAAAAATATATATGTATATGCCACCGACTGCAGGAGGCGAAGAGCGGCAAAATAATGCCAGCCGCACAAATAACAAACTTTATTCGCAGGAACATTGTAGGTTTCGGCAGGAGCATCGGTCGAAAGGGGGCGCCGCATACCATACCTCATGGTTTGCACGGTCTTGGCCGAAGCTCCAATCTCACCCTTGCCCGTGAGGGGCTTGTTGGCAGATGGCATGAGCCCCTTCGACCAAATCTGCCGAAACCCGTGGCGAAGACTATGGAGCAAGAACGACGAGAGGCAAGGGGTCGTGCGAGTACCTTGTCAAGCCAGAGGCGTCCCCGGCGAAAGATGCAAGGCGAAGAGTATCTGCCGAAGGAAGACGGCTTCGCCATGGCAAGTTCGCCCCCGCGAGGGCCGAAGAAGCCTTTCCGGCCCATCAAACCTAGGGGCTATAGGGCCGGCGATCGCCCGACGGCCCATCAGGGGCCCATGAGCCTCCATAACATTATGTACGCCTGTAAATGTCCCTTTCGTAAGGGTAACCATGTAAATTCCCCTGTATAACCTAAACCCTAGTAATAAGAACCTGTAATAGGCTATAAATAGTCCCCTAGGGCCATGTAATGGGGGGATCCGAAGAAAAATTCTAAAATTAATACACTTCATTTCTTTCCAACCACTGTTGAGTAACCACGTCTTTCGACATATGCGGTTGTCGTTTCGACAACAATAGCTGATATTATTGCCATGACCGGCGGAACTTAAGACTTACCCGTTCGCTAGGAATTGAAGCGATGCAGCACCGCGTCAGGTGCCAAGTTCCGACGGAGATAAATAACCTCGGAAAAGAGGGTGACGATGCGCCAAAAGTTGTATTGATCGAGAGATATATTACAAACATCCCGGCTGCACATATTTATACCCACAGGCCGATATGAGTGCTAATTGGACACGTCACAAACTTTCCTAAATACTCCCTCCATGACGCTGTTGACTTTTTGTCCAATGTTTGATCAGTCGTCTTATTCATTTTTTTGTGCAAATATAAAAATATTTATATCATGCTTAAAGAACATTTGATGATAAATCAAGTCACAATAAAATAAAAGATAATTACATAAATTTTTTGAATAAGACGAATGGTCAAACATTAGTCAAAAAGTCAACGCTGTCATACATTAAAATATGAAAGGGGTATGAAAGGAAAGAACATAAAGTCCTCATCGGACATGACACAAACTACCGTAAAGACAAAACTTGCTTAATTAATAGATAAACTTAAGCCGCCATGTAGTAGTCTTCATGATTCCTTCTTGAATTCAGCCTCTTTTGAATAAACCTCCATCGGCTGGTAGATCTTTTCCCTTAACCGAAAATTTGCCAAGGAATCTTACTAAATTTGGCGTTAACACAACATCAACACTCTGCTACAACAGGGTCCTTTCAACCTAGTAACCCACCTTGATGCGGATGCGTGGTTATATAAGTTGAAACGACTATCCCCAAGTCTAATATATTTCATTTTGGGAGTTTTTGGGTTAATCATGATTGGTTTCTAGAGCAGGTCATACATGTTTGGAATGAGGCACAACACTTGCAGAAGAATGCCAAGATTCTGTAAGTTTAAGCTCCTTCGACAAAATTTGAGGAAATGAGTAGGTAGTTCTCAAGATTGACCTTACTAATCTCAAATTTGCTTACAATGTTCTATTTGTTGTTAAGGGCGTAAGCAATCTTGCATGGATGATGATTGATAAACGAGTTTGGAAACTGCAGCACTTACTAAAGTTCATTTGCAGCGGTGGTGCAATTTTCTGATTAAGATATTTTGTCCCATGTTAAAATGCATGTTTGTATTGTACAATGATTTTAAATTAAATGTATGACCATGTTAGCATAGTAATGTAGTATTAAGTACGGATTTTTTTTTAAAGTTTGGCCTGCTTTTGAAGTTTGACATGTACATTGAAATTTACAGGGTTACTGTTGGCGGCTATTAAATGCTGATTCTATACCGCCAACATCTGCAAAAAGTTAAGATAATAAAACATCCAACATAGTAATAGGTGCTTAATCTCACATATTCCATAGTGTTGGTGTATATTTGTATGCAGGTGATAAACTCCGATGTTGGGAGGAAATCTAGACTAAAGTGAGAAGAAACATGTATCCATACAAGGAGGGGTTGTGAACTTCATCAAAATATCAGTAAATCAACCCAAAACTCTGAGAAATGGATAGAGGAAGGTCTAGGGAGTCCACCGACCGAAGGCCAGGCCAGGAAGGCCCAGCCCTGGTTCGGCCGAACCCCCCCTAATCACCGTTGATCCTGGGGTTTGGCGTGGACACTCCAGATGAATTCCTAATGACTGTTGCAGGGCAGTTCGGACATTTCCCCTTCTCACAACCGTCATAACTGCCCTATAAAAGGACCTCACTTCATTCACTCTCACACACACTTCCAAGCTTGAGCTGAATTATAAGATGCTCTATTGTACTATATTGTGTACTAGAATAGGAAGAGAGTAGAGTAGAAGAAGTCGGAAGAATTCCGGAGTTGTCAGTAATCTTCTCGTATTTCTTTTATTCTGTTTATTACTCTGAATTCAAGATAATATTCTTCGAGAGTAATTTAGATTTATCTTGTAAGAATTATCTCTTGGTTAGTTCCTAAATAGCATACGGGATTATTGTTCACTATAACCAACTAAAATATAGTGATTGCTTTGGTGAGTTATAAACACTAAAGTAGATAGTAATTGCTTAGACGTGGTGTTTAGGTAATTATTATCCAATAATTGCTGCGTATCCCACAGACGTTTGAGGTAAGTGTAGAGGTGGTGACAGCCCTCGAGATCACTTAAGTCCTCCCAGTCCTGGTATGTAGTAGAGCGACATCTGGGAACAGTGGGTTGCCAGTGCCTGAAGTATTGTGTTAGGATTAATGTTAAGCTTTCCCTAGACACTGTTTCTCACTAGTAAATCCTCTCTATGCTGGCCTACCATTTATCCTGGCCTACCATTTGCTTGGTGTCCTTGAATAAACCGAAGGAAGATCTGACCACACACATTTCCTTAGATTCGATGCTATATATTAAGAAGTAAAACTTGTAGATCTTCGAATTCAGCAAAGAGGAATATGGACATGTGCACCCACGTCAATTCTATGCTTTTTTATATAAACAACATGGTTTAATCACATTCCGTAGCACACAAAGAAAAATAATATGTATGCAGATCAAAAGGATTGTGTGAAAAATGAGAAAAGGAGAGGCTACAGAACATGGGTACTAAGAATTAACTGACGAAGCATGAATTTGCCATATTTTCAAACCATGCCAAAATGTTACCATGCATTTCTTCAATCACCAAATCCGCATACACAGCTAGAATGAGCATCTCTGAACAAATATAATTTTCATCAACGAAATTCGAGTTCAACAATCAGATAATTCTAATTACAAACTAAGAGAGATAACAAAGAATGATTTCTATATCAGTCTATCTTTATGGTCAATGGTAGCCCGACACATTAGTGTCTCAAACACGATAAAATGTCCAAACATAGATAAAATAATGAAAACAAATCCATTTAGTTGTTCTCATGCCCAAGGTGCATGCAAAGTTTTATATGGGCATGATATCTTAAATAAAGCTTTTAAGGGGGTTATTGACCAAATGGAAGGACTACTGAACAAAAGGACAGTATTAGGTACCTCAAATGATGTGTACCGTCAGAACATTTAAAACAAACTTGCATGGATTCAAAACCTTAAGCTGCTTTTCATCTGGCAAAATAACTGGAATATTCATAAATGAACAGCAACAAACTAAATTTCACGATCTTAGAGGACACAAATAATGAAGGTGTAAAGTATCCAGTTAAAAATATATTGTGCTGAAATGTTGAAGTATTCTTTTTTCAGAGCAATACATGCTTAAAACATGACAATTCAAGAGCAAATGACATCCGATGACTTTGGTTCTAATTTAAGCAGTTACTGATTCTGTTTGAATGAGCTGAACAATCTACTACAGACTCTGGTGCATAAATCATGCAAGCGTGCACGTGAAACCCACGTCAATAATAAGGGCCTGATTGGCACAACTCCAGCTCCAGCTCCACCCGTCCTGGAGCTGGAGCTCAGCCAAACAGTTTCAACTCCACCAAAACTGTGAGTGGAGCTGGGTGGAGCTCCCTCACAAAATGAACTAGAGTTGTAGAACTGGGTTTAAGCAACTCCGCAACTCCACAACTCCAGACCCAACTCCTGGAGTTAAATTTAGGAGTTGGAGCTGTACCAAACAGGCCCTAAGATAAAACAGAGAATAAACACATAATATTTTCACGTCTCTAATAAGATGAAACAGAAAATAAGCTCAATAAGCTCCCATACAATAATTTAATGACCATACAATACTAGAAAGTCTTATAGTATGAAACGGAGGGAGTACCAATTTTTTACGAATTTAAAATATTTTTTTGTTATTTACAACATTCACAAAATATTCAAATAATGCTATTTTACGATTTAGAATAATGATCTATTTATCTGTTTCCTTTTTTTTTCTTATTGACTCAGCACTTTGAGAGAGCTTTCACACTAAAATAATACCGACTATTGATTATATGTATCGTGTTAAATAAAACATGCAATTGGAATATCACCAGTTTATTTATATTCTAAAATTCTGCATTATGTATATTTTAGATTCTTATTTTAATATTGTTAATTGCCCAAATTATATATGAACTAAGAAAATGACCAGGATATTCAACATAGTATTAAAAACTCTCATATTTGTTATATACATATATATGAATAAATAATCTGTTAACCCATTCAAGTTTTACAGGATAACAAATTAATATCAAATATGACCCGTGAAACGCACGGGTTGACGGCTAGTATTACTAGTACAAAATAAAAACACCAGTTTGTCTCACCAAGTTAAAACTATTATTGCGGCAAACCTTATGTGGGGATTGAAATTCGGAACACCTCCACCCCACCCCGGCACACAACTATCTCGCCCAGAATTTATCATTTTTTTTCAATTTTCTGTCAATTTGGTAGAGTTTTATTCAAATTTAGTCAAATTTTATTTCTTTTTAAAATAGTTTCATACTGATCTTCCCGGAATTACCATAATTTTGTGAGACCCGTGAAATTTCCAAAATTTTGGTCTTTACCAAATAGTTAACCCTGACCTTAATGATAATGAATGATTTCTTGTAAAATGATCCATAAATATATGACCAGGATTTGAATTCATCTTTGAAGGGAAGTAATCACCAAAATTCCACAGATTGCAAATAACTTCGGTCCAAAATTCCACAGATTGCAAATAACTTCGGTCAAAATTCTGCGCCCTGCCTTCCTTGTAAGTTGCAAGTTACTACCTCTTTTACCAACTCGGCCATGCAGCAAACTACATCCTCATTGATCAGCAAGCCGTGGAAGACGAACTCCAAATCCCGTCGTGGACCCATCTCTATCACAGTCCATAATTCATCACCTTCAATCTTTCATCAGCTAATAACCTCTATCACTAGTTGGTCGATGCTGTCGGCGTGGTAGAATCGGAAAATGAAGCTTATAACCCGTCCCGTCCCAAATCCAGGGCGGCCCCTTCCCTAGAACAGGAAAATCGCAGTTATACTTATACCAGGCACGATCCCACCTTGTGTCTTCGGCCGGCGGTGGAAGTACGGCAGCAGAGGCGATCACGACCTCTCCTGCACAAGCACCTGCAGAATGAGTTCTCCATGTAGCGATCTTTCTGTTGATGTGGTCAGTGCCATCCTGGTTTCCTCCCTCGATGTCAAACTCTTCAAGAACAGCAGCCTTTTCTGCCAAGAACTTCACGAGCTGGACTTGGGAGCAGGTGAGCTTGCCCTTCTGAAATTGGATGACTACTTTTCTTAGAGAATTCTGCCAGCTACTGCAGAAATTTTGTGTGCTCCCGGTCGCAGGCGTATCTGATTCTGAAACCTTACAGTAATCAGACTCCTGCAATCCGCACGCCGAGGATTTCAGATAGGCCGTCAGGTCTGCGCCGAGATGATCATCTGCACTCTCATTGAGATATTCCAACCAGCTGAATCTTATCCGGAGCTCACGGATCTCCGGGCATCTACATAGCATGTCTCCAACGGCCGTTGCCGCCGCCGACAAGCCGCCGTCCATGGCAAATCCACACAGTTCCTCTATTACAAGGTGCTTGAGGTTCGGGAAGAGAGGGAAGTACCCAAACTTGATGTCTCCAACAATTGAGTACACCGTCAGCTTCAAAATGCTGATGTGGCACATGGTGGTAAGCAGAGGACCTAATGTCGCCGTGCCGGAGATCGACCCCAGGTCGACTTGTGCCAAGCACGGCGCAGCTGATTTCAGCGATACGGAAAAATATAAAGATGGGACCTGCGCGCAGCGGAAGCAGATCAACGACGGCGCGTCAAGCTCGAAGGTGCGACCATCGATGTGGCAGTTAACCATGGTGAAGGAGGTGACCGCCGGGCAGTGGAGATGGATGTGTTCGTCGAAGATGAAGCCGCTAAGCGGTGGTCGATCGGAGAAGGTGACTGACTCGAGACGCAGCTCGGCGAGCCTCGGCGCGGCGAGGATCACCTTCTGGAGGTCGCACAGCCGCACGGTGCAGCGCCGCAGCCGCAGCGTCGTGAGGCACGGGTAGGCAATCCAGTCCCACAACCATTCGGTCGTCGTTACCTTGAGGCAGCATCCCGCGATGTCCAGAACCCGGAAATCCTCGCAGGGCAGCATGCCCAGATAGAGATCGTACTCGACGCCGGGATCGGCGGCGTACTTGTACCGTGGCGGCGACGGCAACGATCCGCTGGCGACCTGGCACTCGAGGCGGAGCTCCTCCACGTGGCGGAGCAGCCCGACACAGGTGCCTCTGAACTGGTCCGGGTTCAGGTACCGCGAGAAATCCCGACGGACGCAGCCGAAGACGTAGCCGTCGTCGTGGTCTCTGTCGGCTGTCACCGTGACGGTGAGCTTCTTGAGGCCGTGGCGGCGGCGGCGGAGCGCTGCCCGGGCGTCTCCCTCGTCTTCCCAGGTCGAGGGGCCGGCCTCGCCCCACCCCCTGTGGAAGGTCCTATCGAGGAATTCGTCGGAAGTTAAGTCGATGTTGACGGTGCCAGTCTCCAGCCATAGCGGCTGCAGGCGCCACCGGCGAGAGAGGAGTGTGCTGCTGGCGGCCTGCTTGACGGGGGCGAAGGAGAGGATACGTATGAGCAGATCGTCGGGGAGCTCGGATAGGCGGTCTCTGCTCGCCGTGCCTTTGGCCATGGACGCGACGGCGGCGTCGAGATCGATCGATCTCGATCGATATTTAATAGGTTGTGTGGATTGAGCTATATATTACCTTGCCCGAGCAGTTGGGTACTTGGATTCTTAGTCGACGAACTGTTCCTACTCGAAGTCGAATTGAAGCACAATACGATCCGGATTAGCCGCCAGCTGCGCACAATTTGCCTATTTTGCCCGTGACGATCTCGGGACGATCGATCCGTGACGCAGTGGAAGTGTGGAACGCACAGCAGAACGGTTATTTCTTTATTCTTGGGAATTACTGCCGGGTGAAATAAGCGTATGAAATTTTGTTTTTAGCTAGGTTTTTGAAATTCTGTATCCCCAGCACGAAACTATTTAGTGCGAAAATTTCAAAAAAAAATCATTTTTTTGTGAATTTAACAAAATTCATTTATTTTTTTAATAAACAAAGTACAAACATAACACTCACTAGATGTAAACATCCATTTTCGGAAAAGATACCGTGGTCATCACAAATCAATCAAGCAACCGATGCTTGCCAGCTAAGGTGTATGGCATGCAGCCTACAACTGTAGTGACATCACCCTAATGTCCTGAGTTCAAATCTCAATAGGAGCAAATTTAAAAATGGTTTATTTTTGGGGCTAAGTTCCCCAATTTAAATGGTTGTATATATCCGGTTGAACGTAGAGGATGGGTAAAAATACATTTCTCTAAAAATACCTGGAAGCAACATGACAGTAGAAAAGAATATGCTCCTTGTACATACACTAGCCTGCTTTGTGAAGCCTTTCATTATATTCTGGTCAAAATTACAAACTTATTGATTTGATTTTTTCCCTATAAAATGGGTTTAACAACTCAGACAGCTTAAAAATTCAGCTGACCGATATCTGCCAGAATGTTCTGCCCGTAATAATTTAGCAAAATTTATAGTGCAAATATGCCAAATTAGAAAAATGCCACTACTATTCGCAATATCGGCTGGGTGCCACTAGAATTTTAGAAAATTAGATCCAAGCCACTACATCGTGTTTTCCATCCACTCCCCCGTCCATCGCGCCAGCTTCGCCGATGCCTTCCCTTTCCTGTGCGTGGACGCCGCCACTGCCGCCGCGGCTCTACTCGACGGAGATGATCAGCGGCAGGGAAGGGTGTTGCTACTCAGGGAGCTCATCTCTGCCATGGACGTCTACCACAGGGGCGCGGCCGTCGTCACCCGTGTCGTCGAGACCTCCATGTCATCCTCGTGATTCCTTACCTCGTAGTTCACCATCGACGTGTGCATTCTTCTCCAACAAGGCTACCATCCTCATCATCCTCGCCTGCGTCTCCAACCTCGCCTTCTGCCTCCACGCCACCGCACGGTGCCTCATTAGTTGCCTCGCCTGCCGGCGCGACTTCAAGGAGTGGGCACAGCCATAGCCGCCCAAGCCAGCATCCGACGACGGGGCCAATACCGGTAGGTCAGGGGCGGTTGAAGTCCCGATGGTTGGTGGGCGGGCCGAGGCGGTGTGCACCATTTGTCTGTCAGAGCTGGCGGTCAGCGGCAAGCGCGTCCGCGTGCTCCTGGCATGCGGGCACAGCTTCCATGGCGTCTATGTGGACGGAACCAAGAAGAGGAAGCCAAGAGGAAGTACGACGAGATCGTGAGGAGGAAGAGGGACAGGAACTCTGTCGTCGCCAAAACTCTGCTCGTCCCAGGAGTTGGGAAATGGCACCGTCGCCGTCGCGCCTGAAGGCTGTCTCCGAGCTCCTTCTCCGCCGCATCGAGGCCGAGTGCTGGAGTTGGGAAACGGCACGGAGTTTGGAAATTAACGGGGAGTGGATGGAAAACCTGACGAAGTGGCACGGTTCCAATTTATCCAAATTCTAGTGGCACCCAGCCGAAATCACGAATAGTAGTGACATTTTTCTAATTTGGTATATTTGTAGTGACACGGATCCAATTAAGAAACTACCATTATATTGGATCTAAAATGGATGCCTGAAATTTGTCCGCGTCACAAAAATTGTTGTTTGCACTACATAATTTACCGTCAATCTTCCTTATAGTGAACAATAATTTTCAGACTTTACATATTGTCCAAAATAATTGTGAATGGAACTGAATTTCAGAACAAAAATTTAAAATTTCGAGCAGATTCCAACAAAATTCAAAAGATTTGGTTGTTTGCCCCAAATTTACTGCTCTAGCTTTTTTTGGATGAGAAAATGATACTTTTTGGCAGTATCAAGGATATAAATTAAGTGGGCATTTGTATTAGATCTCTAGACCCTTCCTCGTTCCAATCAAGTTTATGATATACTAGTTGGGTGCCTGTACGCTGCAACGGGGAAAATATGCATCATTTGAAACATACAATCTATGCCATATAGAAATATGCACAAATCAATGAGGAATCGTTTCCTTGATCTGAACAAAACGAAATTGTAACGAATCTGATTCATTTGCCAAGTTATTATGCTATATATTAAGAAGTAAAACTTGTAGATCTTCGAATTCAGCAAAGAGGAATATGGACATGTGCACCCACATCAATTCTATGCTTTTTTATATAAACAACATGGTTTAATCACATTCCGTAGCACACAAAGAAAAATAGTATGTATGCAGATCAAAAGGATTGTGTGAAAAATGAGAAAAAGAGAGGCTACAGAACATGGGTACTAAGAATTAACTGACGAAGCATGAATTTGCGATATTTTCAAACCATGCCAAAATGTTACCATGCATTTCTTCAATCACCAAATCCGCATACACAGCTAGAATAAGCATCTCTGAACAAATATAATTTTCATCAAGGAAATTCGAGTTCAACAATCAGATAATTCTAATTACAAACTAAGAGAGATAACAAAGAATGATTTCTATATCAATCTATCTTTATGGTCAATGGTAGCCCGACACATTAGTGTCTCAAACACGATAAAATGTCCAAACATAGATAAAATAATGAAAACAAATCCATTTAGTTGTTCTCATGCCCAAGGTGCATGCAAAGTTTTATATGGGCATGATATCTTAAATAAAGCTTTTAAGGGGGTTATTGACCAAATGGAAGGACTACTGAACAAAAGGACAATATTAGGTACCTCAAATGATGTGTACCGTCAGAACATTTAAAACAAACTTGCATGGATTCAAAACCTTAAGCTGCTTTTCATCTGGCAAAATAACTGGAATATTCATAAATGAACAGCAACAAACTGAATTTCATGATCTTAGAGGACACAAATAATGAAGGTGTAAAGTATTCAGTTAAAAATATATTGTGCTGAAAGGTTGAAGTATTCTTTTTTCAGAGCAATACATGCTTAAAACATGACAATTCAAGAGCAAATGACATCCGATGACTTTGGTTCTAATTTAAGCAGTTACTGATTCTGTTTGAATGAGCTGAACAATCTACTACAGACTCTGGTGCATAAATCATGTAAGTGTGCACGTGAAACCCACGTCAATAATAAGATAAAACAGAGAATAAGCACATAATATTTTCACGTCTCTAATAAGATGAAACAGAAAATAAGCTCCTATACAACAATTTAATAATTCCACGTCTCTAATAAGATAAAACAGATAATAAGCTCCCATACAATAATTTAATGACCATACAATACTTTGTATAGATAATCTTTCTGATAGAAAGAGCACTGCTACAGACCAAAGGATGAACTGCCCCGAAAGGGCATAGCATGAGTACAGCAGACCCATTACATATAACGTTAAATAACAAATACATAAATGACCGTCTTCCCATTTTACTGCCAAATGATGCCTTCGAAGGCTCATAGATGAAGGAAGGGTTATATAGGCCTCAGTCCTCAGAAGTACCTTTCCATGAACCCGAGTTAAATATAATAGAGGTTACCAACATCAGTTAAAAGAAACACATGTAGTAGAGAGAATAAACTTTATGCAATGTAAATTATGAACTAATGCTCACGGAATCAGTGTCAGCTAAAAAAATGTGTGGTTATGTATTAATGTGATCTAAATTAGAGTTCGTAAGTACTGCAGCCTATTCTCTGCAACGTTAAATGGATATGGAAATTGATGGGGCAAGGCAAACCGGCAAAGTGTTCTCTCGTACTGCATTCCAGATAATCAAATGTGCAGTGGATAGTTTACAGCGATATGCAATAATATTAACAACCTTCCTTTTCTATACTCATTAAGCTTAATTGAAGGAAATGATTCTGCCAAGATGCATTGATAGCAGTAAGATGACTGCATTGGTAAGGAAGATAATATACAGGTAAAGAAACTAACCGTGTGAGCATAGATGATGCAATTTACTCCATGACTGAATCAGGGATTAGCGTATTTTCTGCTCGCATATTGACTAAATTTCATTGAGTGGAGGTCTTCTCTCACATTTATAGAATTCAGGTGTGGTTTATCATCATGAATTCAGGTGTGGTTTATCACCATGAATTCCCATCAGCAATTACGCTGGTCATCAGAACTTAACATGAGACACTTACCATGAGGAAGTATATATATAATCACATCCAAAATTTTATGTCTAATGTGAGCACCTAGCCAGTAAAACAACTACCAGGATCATGACCAAACAGAGAGACGGTATGTTAATACCATAGGAGAAGTTGTAGTGATGAGTGTGCACCACATGTAAATGCGGCATCACAGATCAATAAATTGACAGACACAACATAGATCAACGATATTTCCATTGCATGTTAAAAAATTGATATCGCAGAAATTAATCAAGTAAAAACAGGACAAACAGAAGAAACTGGTCTTACTTTCACAGTAGGGAAGAGTACCCGGGTGATGAAGGAACCTGACGTCCTGAAGAAGAGTGAGCTTGTGTCCAGTGGAAAGATTTTACTTCAAATCTACACCATTTGTGAGATAATAATTTAAATACCATGGGTAGGTACAGGATCAATACTCTTTTTTCGCTGGTAGTACTCTCGCATCTTTTGAAGCCTAGCTTCCTTGTCGCCAGCACTAAGAGCAGCATACCGCTCCCTAGCACGCTTCCGCGTAAATTAAATCGGAGTTAAATTAGTGATGCCGCCAAGTGTACCTGCAGAAACTTGTACAGAAATCATTTCACAACATAGCAACAGTACGAAGCAGCGAGACGAAAAGGGAGAAAACAGATAATGTCCACAAATCAGATACACATTGTAGATATACCTTCAACAGGAAACTGTTTCTTTTACTTAAAACGAAACTGTCTAAGTGATACTTTCACATACATTTTGATTACAGCTCGAACAAAGCAGTACAATGCTAAAATCACTTTGAAAAGTGAATTGGTTTCTGGACATTTGCTCAACAAATTTATGAACTTTAGTTGATTTGTAACTTTTCTAGATGGGGGATGTCTAGCAATCGAATGCTATATAAGAAATTTTGTTTACCTTTTGTAGATGGGAATGTCCCTCAGTGATGGAGGGGAGACGCGCGAGGAGAATTTTCAGAATATGCCATCGAATTCGCCCTGCTTTCAGAATATGCCATCCAATTCGTGCTACTTTCAGAATACACCATCGAAGCACGAATTTTCTTCGTTCCGTGCCACTCTGTCTCTTCCGTCCATAGCGCCGTCGTCTTCCTCAGAGACGCCGATAATGTCTCGCTCCAGCCTCGCCATGGCGCTCCTCCTCCTCGCTTTCTTCGCCGCCGCGGCGACGGCGAACGGCGGCGCAGCGCCGGCGGCCAGCAACTTCATCCGCAAGTTGTGCCGCGCGACGCAGTACCCGGCGGTGTGCGTGCAGAGCCAGGCGTCGTACGGTGGGGCGCCGCTGCCGCGGAGCCCGCCCGAGCTGGTGCACGCCGTGCTGTCGGTGAGCGTGGACAAGGCGCAGTCGGTGTCGATGTACGTGGGGCGTATCTGCGGCCCTGGCGGCAGCCGCGGCGTCGCCGGCCCCGTGCGCGACTGCCTGGAGAACATGGCGGACAGCGTGGGGCACCTTTGCGACGCGGCGCAGGAGCTCGGCGGCAACATGGGGCGTGCCGGCTCGCCGGGGTTCAAGTGGCACCTGAGCAACGTCCAGACCTGGTGCAGCGCCGCCCTCACCGACAAGAACACCTGCCTCGACGGCCTCTCCCGCGGCGTCGACGCCGCCACCCGCTCCGCCACCCGCGGCAAGATAGTTGTCGGCGTCCATCGTCGTCGTCCACCATCCTCGTCCACAGCGTGGCGTGGGTGCGGAGGGAGGCGACTGCTAGTAGCGGGGCGAGCGCGGACGCGAGCATGAGCTCGAGTACCGCCGCGAGTCTGCCACCGCCCGCGCCGGCGTCCGTCCGTCGCCTGCATCGTCGTCATCCACCGCCCTCGCCTGCGCCCATGTCAGCCGTGGCGTCGTCTGTTCGCCGTCGCCGCCATCATTGTCGTCCACCGCCCGCGCCGCGCGCGCCCATGTCAGCCACGGCGTCGTCCGTTCGCCGTCGCCGCCATCGTCGTCATCCACCGCCCGCGCAGCGCGTCCTCCGGCTGGAGCACGCCGGTGAGGGTGCCCTGTCCTCGTCCTCATCTTCCTCCCCACCACCACCACCACGGACGCCGCCCGCTCGCTGCCCATCCCCGCCGTCCACAGCCGCCGCATTCGCCCCATTCCGCCTCGCCCCGCCATCCACAAGGGGCTTCTGCCTCACCCCTTCCCCGCCGCCGCAGTCGTTCCGCCTCGCCCCGCTGCTAGCAGTCGCCTCCCTCTGCGCGCCCACGCCACGCTGTGGACGACGACGACGACGACGATGGACGATGCCGGCGACGGAAGGACGCCGGCGTGGCTGAAACGGGCGCCGGCGCGGGCGGTGGCGGACTGGCGGACTGACGACGGCGGCACCGGGCAGAGAAGACGACGGCGCTACGACGGAAGAGACGGAGTGGCACGGAACGAAGAAAATTCGTGCTCCGATGGCGTATTCTGAAAGTAGTACGAATTGGGTGGCATATCCTGAAAACAGTGCGAATTCGATGGCATATTCTGAAAATTCTCACGGGCGAGTACTGCATCCACCTGCCGACAGCATCCAACGACGACCGGAGGACTGGCGGCCAGCTTCCGGTGCGGCGCGAAAGGGACCGTGGTTGAGATCGACGGAGAGGAGCGGATCCAGTCGCGAGATGTGGCGTAGGCGACGGACTGTTGGCGTGGACGTGGGCTGCGCACGGGGAAGCGGAGTCGACGACGGAGGCCGCCGCGGGATGGGGGTGGTGGTCTAGTGGGAGGCCAGGATGTGGGGGGTTGATGTAGCCGGCTTGTGGAGGTGAGGTCGATGATGAATCCGGCTTGTAGACCTGGGAGGTCGTGGGCTTGTGGGGCGTGGATTCCACAGTGATTTGGGGACGTGGGATCGGCGATGGGAGAGGAGCGAGACGGCGCGGTGGTTGGGCGGGGTGGGGAAGTGGCATGGCGAGGAGGGCTTCCAGCGGCGGGGATCGGTCGAGGGCGCGCCTATGTGATGAGGCAGGAGGAGACGGCGGCGATGGGGGCGTCGGCGGTGGAGGCGTGGTGCGGCGACTGGGGAGGAGGATGGGGCGTTGGTGGCGGTGGCGCTGGCGGTGGCGCTGGCGGTGGCGGTGGGGGCGCCGCGGGAGGAGCCACCTGATGACGACAACCTGGAGCCGATGGCGATGCGGAGGAGTAGGCATCGGCGGCGGGGGGAGCCGGGGAGGAGGAGGAGTAGGAGTCGGCCGGGCGGGGGGATCTGGAGCGGACTCGACGGCGGGGGATTCGGCGTCAGTTGCGGGTGGGTGGAGGATTCGGCGTCGGTGGTGGGTGGACGGAGTAGGCGTTGGTGGCGGTGGCGTTGGCGGCGGGTGATGGGGAGGAGGAGGACGCGGCGGCGGACAGGACGGTGTGACCGGCGTTGGGGGCAGTGTCTAGGGTTTCGGAGTCCGCCGCGAGGAGTCCTCCCTGCGCCAGCGGTGGTTTGACGGAGGTGGTGGCGGCGGCGAGGCGAGCAGTGGGGAAGGAAGCTGGTGGAGGATAGCGGGGAGGAGCGAAGGCGGCGGCGGCATGGGACGGTTAGGGGACGGCGATGGAGCAGTCGGCGACGCAGTGGAGGAGGACGGCGATGGCGGCGGGGAGGATCGAAGGCGACGGTGGCACAGGACGGTTAGGGTACAGCGATGGAGCCGGTGGATGCGGGAGGGATAAGGCGAGGAGCTAGGTGGGGATCGGTGCGCCGTTGGATTTAGCGATCCGACGGCTCACATTCCGCGTGTCTGCTAGAGTTGGAGTCACCGCCACCACTACAGAATTTTAAAATTGTGTGTGTATATATATGGGGGTATTTTTAATGGATTCAGGTAATGAGCTACAAGGAAAATTAGAATCTTAAATTCAAATGTCAGGGTTTGAATTTAGGAGGGTGAACTTTTGGGACACAAAGAATTAAGGGTGAATATCTAAAATGGTCCCTGGAGTTTCGCTTCAGGCTCAGTTTAGTCCTTGAGGTTTCAAATCGTCCAAACAAGTCCTCCAAATTAATCATTTAGATTAATATAGTCCTTGGACAAAAAAGGTTGCTAACTGGCACATCCGGCGGCGTTGTTTCTTTTTTTTTTACTTTTTGTGGTTTTCTTTTTATTTTTGCATTTTTTTTCTTTTTTCGCGTATTTTAATTTTTTTTTAATCCTCAACACACGTATTTTTAAATCTTTGGGTTGAAAGTTTTTAAATCTAGAGTCGAAAGTTTTCAAATTTTGACTTGAAAGTTTTCAAATCTTGTGTCCAAAGTTTTCAAATCTCGAGTTGAAAGTTTTCAAATCTGAAATAAAAGTTTTCAAAATCTCGAGTTGAAAATTTTCAAATCTGAGTTGAAAGTTTTTAAAACTTGACTTCAAAATTTAAATCTTTAAGTCAAAAATTTTCAAATCTATCTTAAAAGTTTTCATTTTATTAGTAGAAAAATCTCTTAAAAAAGTATTCTCTTAATTTTGTCATTATCCTTAACTAGCTAACTAACTACTTAACAAATCAAAACGCACGGCTAACTAACTAACTACATAACACATCAAAACGCACGGCTAACTAACTAACTACTTAACTCATCAGAACGCGCGTTGGTGGCGCGCGCACGAGCTAATTAGCTTTTCCGCACAAAAAGTGCCATGTGAACATGCCAAGTCATCCTCGCATGCAGCGGTATGAATGAAATGACCATTCTACCCTTATATACCGTATAAAAAAGAAAACAAATGTTTCACACATGTACGATCGTTTTAGAATTGTCACTTACGATTGTGTTACAAGACATTTACCCATTTGCTGCACCAACTACACCTATTTGAGTTTGTTTGAGGAGCTTTATAGCATGTAACAATGTTGCACCAACTTTTTGGCTTTTAGTTTGATTCTGGGAGAAGCTACAAAGCTCCCCAAACCCAAAAAGCAAGATGTGAATCAAGAACATTCACCATAATTGTGATTCACTCAAATCTTTCCAAGTCATGTCGTGGATATATTAAGGATCTGTTATACGGGAGAGTAATTCTTTTTTTGACAAGTATGTTGATCCCTTTAGTTTTATTCATGATGTATTTATTGCAACAATAGAGAATATTTTTTGGTATAGTAGCAAGAACATGATATAATCTGAGCAAGGAATATTTTGTTGCGGTCAAAGCAAACACTAGCTGTTAGGTGATCAACATCGATTGGATTACACATTCCATGGAGTATATCATTAGACATTAGTTCATATTTGAACAAACGAGCGAATAGGTGAAAGTTAAGAGTAAATTCAAAAGTTAAGGGATGCTCATGATCATAAGAGTGCGTACGTGTTGACTCATCTGTGCTTCAGAGTCTCCTAGCTAGCCAAGTACTAATCAATGACTATGGCCCTCTCAGAATCTATATACTATGCCTATATCGTCGTTGGCACTTGGATTATTGGAGATCCGAGCTTTTGCTTATGTAATTGTTGTTTGTCATTTAAATTTCCATGGCCAGCTAGAACTACTGAGCTAGCGTCAATGTTGACCTAAATAAGTAAAAAACGAGAAAGAAAGTTAGTGAAATTTAGGAATTGAGACAAGAAAGTGAGTTTTTCTTTCTAGGGACGAAATCACCCAAATTCATCCAATTTAGGAGAATTGCAGAATCCTGCTTGTACGGGTGCTATATTGCTAGCTACTGCTAATGCCTGGCTGTCCCTAAGACGAGCTCCACCTCCACCGCCACCTCCCATTGATATAGACCTTTCTTGATCCAGGTTTCGCCATCTTCAAACCACCCAAATCATCTTCCAAGGGCGGCTGACACCGTCGTTGTCGTAAAGCTGGAAACTGGAGGCGAGAATCTATGTCAAGGATCATTGGAATCGAAGGTGGTGCCAGCCTTCACCCGCTGATATCTCCTGCACCAACACCAGGAGGAGCTTCATTTTCCATGGATGAAGCAGCTCCCCATCTACCAACCTTGCTTTTGATGATGTGGTCAGAGCCATGATGGTTTCCTCCCTCGATTTCAAACTCCTCAAGAACAGAAGCATTTTCTGCCAAGAACTTCACGAGCTGGACTTGGGAGCAGGTGAGTTTGCCCTTCTGAAATTGGATGACTACTTTTCTTAGAGAACTCTGCCAGCTACCGTTGAAATTTTGTGTGCTCCCGGCCGCAGGCGTATCTGATTCCTTGCAGTGATTACAGTAATCAGACTCCTGCAATCTGCATATCGAGGATTTCAGATAGGCCGTCAGGTCTGCGTCGAGATGATCATCTGCACTCTCATTGAGATATTCCAACCAGCTGAATCTTATCCAGAGCTCACGGATCGCCGGGCATCTACGTAGCATGTCTCCGACGACCGTTGCCGCCGCCGACAAGCCGCCGTCCATGGCAAATCCACACAGTTCCTCTATTACAAGGCGCTTGAGGTTTGGGAAGAGAGGCAAGTGCCCAAACTTGATGTCTCCAACAATGGAGTACACCGTCAGCTTCAATATGCTGATATGGCACATGGTGTTAAGCAGAGGACCGAATGTCGCCGTGCCGGAGATCGACTCCAGGTCGACTTGTGCCAAGCACGGCGCAGCTGATTTCAGCGATATGGAAAAATATAAAGATGGGACCTGCGCGCAGCGGAAGCAGATCAACGACGGCGCGTCGAGCTCGAAGGTGCGACCATCGATGTGGCAGTTAACCATGGTGAAGGAGGTGACCGCCGGGCAGTGGAGATGGATGTGTTCGTCGAAGATGAAGCCGCAGAGCGATGGTCGATCGGGGAAGGTGACTGACTCGAGACGCAGCTCGGCGAGCCTAGGCGCGGCGAGGATCACATTCTGGAGGTCGCACAGGCGCACGGTGCAGCGCCGCAGCCGCAGCGTGGTGAGGCACGGGTAGCCAATCCAGTCCCACTCCCACAACCATTCGGCGGTCGTCACCTCTTGGAGGCAGCATCCCGTGATGTCAAGAACCCGGAAATCCTCGCAGGGCAGCTTATCCATAGAGAGATAATACTCGACGCCGGGATCGGCGGCGTATTTGTATTTGTACTGCGGCGAGGACGCCGCCGCCGACGACGACGACGATCCGCCGGCGACCTGGCACTCGAGGCGGAGCTCATCGACGTGGCGGAGCAGCCCGACACATGTGCCGTCGAAGACGATCGGTTTCAGGTACCACGAGAAATCACGACAGTCGCTGCGGAGGTAGCCGTCGTCTCTGTCGGCTGGTCTCTGTCGGCTGTCACCGTGACGGTGAGCTTCTTGAGGCCGTGGCGGCGGCGGCGGAGCGCTGCCCGGGCGTCTCCCTCGCGCCCCCACCCGCACCACCAGGGACAGGTCCAATGGCGGAATTCCTCGGAAGTCAAGTCGATGTTGACGGTGCCAGTCTCCAGCCATAGCGGCTGAAGGTGCCACCGGCGAGAGAGGAGGGTGGTGCTCGCGGCCTGCTTGACGGGGGCGAAGGAGAGGATACGTATAAGCAGATCGTCGGGGAGCTCGGATATGCGGTCTCTGCTCGGGCTCGCCGTGCCTTTGGCCATGGACGCCGCGGTGGCGTCGAGATCGATCGATCGATCCATATCCTTTAATAGGACGGATTGAGCTATATAAATATTAGCTTGCCCGAGGCCCCGAGCTGTTGGATGAGTCGACGAATTGTTCCTAGTCGAAGGCTCGAAGCAGAATTCGATCCGGATTAGCCGCCAGCTGCGCACAATTTGCCTATTTGCCCGTGCCGATCTCAGGACGATTGATCCGTGACGCAGTGGAACGCGCAGCAGACCGATTGTTATTTCTTTATTCTTGGGAATTACTGCCGGGTGAAATGAGTCTGAAATTTTGTTTTTAGTTTATTGAAATTTTGGTATTCCCGGCACGAAACTGTTTAGTGCGAAAATTTTGAATTTTTTTGAATTTAACAAAATTCATTTATTTTTTAATAGACAGTATAAACGCAGACACTTACCACACGTAAACATTCATTTTCGAAGAACATACAGTGGTCATTGTTTACACCCAAATTTAGCACCTATGGACGAAATAGGGGAATATTGCCAAAGTTTGGAAAGTGATGGGTTTCCTTCATAGGGCCGGTCAGACCACAGGTGTGTGGGCAGTCTGACCGGCTAGTAGGGCCAGTCTGACCGCAGGTATATGGGCGGTCAGACCGTCAGGGTCCGAGTCCGAGTCTGTTTTCGTCGGGTCTCGAGTTTCCTTGCTCGGGAAGGCATGTTTCGTGTTTCCTTTGGTTTCTATCCCGAGTTGGGCATGGAGAAGGACCTGTAGAGGGCAAGACCAATCCCTATTTAAAGGACAAGGCCGGTTCATTGTAAAACCCCCGAATATAGTTTACTTGAATCGTTCTTTTACTATATTTTCTATTTTACCCTAGTTTAGTCCATCTTTGTCGGTTTGCGCCGTAAACCATCCGCCGCCGCTATGAGAGTGCGACACCTCTTTGTAGGTTTGTCCTGAAAACCTTCCGTTTTGCCCACGAGATGGGTAGTTATCCTCATATCAATCTAAATCGGCCTAGAGGCTGATTTTGATCTCTAAATCGGCTCCGCTAGCCGGTTTAGCTTTTCTTTTTGCAAAACCCATCTTGATTTGGCCCTTTGGCTAGATCGAGGTGGTTGGCGACTCCATATCACAGCAAGGCGTTTAGGTGTTACGATCGTGCTTGTCGACTTGTCACAAAAAGTTGCCAACAGTCATCACAAATCAATCAAGCAAACGAAACTTGCGAGCCTAGTGGATGCAGTGACTTTGAGTAGCCCCAATGTCCTGAGTTCAAATCTCTATAGCAGCGAATTTTAGGTTGAGTTGTTTGTGAACCTGTGAAGCAACATGGCAGCAGGGTTGGAAATTTTTGACCGAAATTTCGGTCCCCTCTGATACAATATTACTTTGGCCAAAATTTTTCAATTTTTTCATGAATTTGGGTAATATTTGTTCAAATTCAACTAAATTTTGTTCAAAATTTAGGACCGAAATTTCTGAAATTTCGGGATTCCGGTGACCCCCGAACAAAAGCCCTAAACCGATATAGTGAACCCTGCATGGCAGTAGAAAAGAAAGAATCCTGATGCTCCTGGATATACACTGGGCTGCTTGCAAAGTGAAGCCTTTCTTTATATTCTGGTCAAAATTGATTTGATTTGATAAAAAAACCTGTGAAGCAACTTATTGATTTTTTTTCCTATAAAATGGGTTTAACAACTCAGACGGCTCAAAAAATTTCAGCAGACCGATATATGACTAATTTGGGAATGTTCCGTCAGTAATAATTAGCAAAATTTATAGTGCAAATCTAGAAACTACCGTTGGATCTAAAATGGACGCCTGAAATTTATTGACGTCACAATTTAAAATTGTGGTTTGCACTACATATTTTTCGATCAATCTTTTTATGGTGAACAATAATTTTCAGAGTTTACTTATTGTCCAAAATAATTGTGAACGGAACTGAAAATTTCAGAACAAAAAATAGAATTTTTGAACAGATTCCAGCAAAATTCAAAAGATTTGGCTGTTTGCCCCAAATTTGCAGCTAAAATGAACACATCTAGCTTTTTTTGGGTGAGAAAATGATACTTTTTGGCAGTGTCAAGGATATAAAGTGGGCATTTATATTAGATCTCTAGACTCTTTTTCCAATCAAGTTTATGATATATGGGTATTTTTAATGGATTCACGTAATGAGCTAGAGGAAAATTAAAATCTTAAATTCAAATGTCAGGGTTTGAATTTAGGTAAGTGAACTTTTGGGTCACAAAGAATTAATTAAGATCTTGCAACTAGCTAGATACGAAAAGATTAAGCAAAAAACTATGGCGTTACAAGATATTTACCTAATTGCTGCACCAACTACACCTATTTGGGTTTGTTTGAGCTTTAAAGCATGTAAGAATGTTGCACCAACTTTTTGGATTTTAGTTTGATTCCGGGAGAAGCTACAAAGCTCTCCAAACCCAAAAGGCAAGATGCCAATCAAGAACATTCACAATATATGTGATTCACTCAAATCTTTCCAAGTTATGCTGTGGATGTATTAAGGATTTGTTGTACGAGAGAGTACTTTCTTTTTTTGACAAGGACGCCGATCCCATTAATTAGTTTTATTGATGTATGAATATTTGTTGGTATGGACACAACTACACCGAGAGTGCTAGCTAGATAGTGCTAAAGAGAGACACCCTTCTTTCCAAAAAAAAAAAGCTACTACCACACTCAATATCTATGTATTTTTTTTATTTTTAGACAAATTTCTCTTAAATTACTCATCTGATTTATAATCCAATTACACCGTTGTGTTCGTAACAATTAAATCTTTATAACAAGATCTCACATGATTATATTTTGATGAAAAATCACAAATTACTTTTATGATATGTCTAAATTACTTCTAGATTTCACTAAGTTACTTCTTAGACATATAAAAGTAAACTCAGTAAAGTTTAAAAGTAATTTACATATATTATAGAAGTAACTAAAAAGACAGTAACTTTAATTTAGAACTATATCTAGATTCATTAACATCTATATAAATGTGAGCAATGTTAAAATGACTTACATTATAAAAAGGGGGGAGTAACTCTCTGTAGTAGAAATAATTATATTGTAAGTGAGCTGAAATAAGAAACTATGTAGAGTAAATTCGTAAGTAAAGTGTAGAGAAGATTTATAAAGTCCACAATATAGAATTAACTAAAAATAATAATAAAAATAATCAACTTAGAGAGCATTATGAATGTATAGAAGTAATTTAGTCAAATCTAAAATTAACTTATATATATGATAAAAGTAACTTACGTATATAATAAAAGTAATTTATAAATATAAATATTTTTTTATTTTAATATAATCATGTAATATCTTGTTGTAAAAATTTAATTGTAACGAACGTAAAGGTGTAATCAGATTGTAGATCGGATAAGTAATTTGAGAGAAAATTCTATAAAAAGAAAAAAATAGACATGCATTGTGTGCACTAGTAACAACTGGACCTTTTCTCACGCAGTTGTACTAGTAGCACAGGACCTTCTCTCACATACTAGTACCACTGGACTTTCGTGTTTCTCTCAGACGAATGAGTGCGTCGCTCTTTAACACTAAATCGAGAGCGCTCTCGGTTTAGATTTTGCGTTGTTGGTATAGTAGCAAGAACATGTTGTAATCTGAGCAAGGAATATTTTGTTGCGGTCAAAGCAAACACTAGCTGTTAGCTAGGTGATCAACATCGATTGGATTACACATCTTGAAATTATAAGCACATAATGATTTATTTTATTTCATAAATAAATCATGACATTGTAGATGTAAACTAGCATGAATGTATCATAAGATCTACACATATAAACTAGACAGTATAACATAAACATATCAAATATGGCAACATAGTGAGCACGTACCGACATTGCCGAAAGACCGGTTGCTCAGCAGGAATTACTCACGGTTGTGGGCGTTGACGAAGGCGCGCAGCACGCGAGCGAACAGGAAGACGAGTCGTGGTGGACAAACAGGGAGCAGTCGTGCAAAGCGCTTTCCAAAAACCTTATTGCTGCCTTCTCCCGGTGCAGGACGTCGAAGGCAGAGGTTCTATAGACCTGCTCTCCCGATCACCGGTGCACGCGGATGAGCGGGATGGAGTAGTGTACGAGCGACGGCGCAACACAGAGTAAGAGGCAAACTCTAGATTGATTTCACATGTGTTGTATGGAGGCGGCAGCTCGGTTTATATAGAGAAAGGTCGCTCGATCAAGGCGCCTGCACGATCTCCACTCCGCGTAACTGAACCAGATAAGTCGTGCGTAACTTATCCGGACTCCACGCCGTTTTCACGTTTCGGAATGTTTCCAAAACAAACAAATCCGAATTTCCCACAGCAAAACAAAACTGCAAAAAGAGGTTGCATCTGCGCAAGAGTGATGAACCAATTTTGTGGACCATTCGACACGTAAGTTGTGCACGCGTGCCCGGCCATGGAGTTATCATTAGTTCATATTTGAACAAATGAGCGAATAGGTGAAAGTTAAGAGTAAATTCAATAGTTAAGGGATGCTCATGATCATAAGAGTGCGTACGTGTTGACTCATCTGTGCTTCATAGTCTCCTAGCTAGCCAAGTAATCAATGACTATGGTCCTCTCAGAATCTATAGCTATAGCATATAAAGAAGCTCCTTTAAACAATTTATATTGTCAGTCAAGTTCTGAAAATCTAGTTATTATAGACTAAAAGTCAGAAGGTGAAAAACCAATCTTTTAAGATTCTCATATCTAGTTCTCGGTGCTTTAAACTCCCACCCTATATGAGTTGACGCTTGGATTGTAGATCCGAGCGCTTGCTTCTGTAATTTGTTATTTGTCATTATACTCATTCTTTAGTTTTTTCTTTTTGTTATTTGATACGGACTCTGGATGATATTTGTCATGATTGGGTTTTTAATCGATCTTTGATTTTGTGATTTGCCCACTGTACGCGATTAGTATTTTGATTCGATCTCCGATTTTTTTTTCCTTTGGCCAGCGTACGCGATGAACACATCACTCATGCGGGGACGCAGGGCATCGCTCGGTCGGACTTATGGATCAATTTTTATTATGTTTTTTTAGTTTGTTATGTGACCCCCTTGGGAGAGAGAGGAGGTAGGGAGAGAAGAGGGAAAGGAGAGGGGTGATGAGTGATGACGTGATCCCATTGTATTTTTTTATTTTTAATCGGATACTCCTTTTTTTTTACCTTTTGTGCATTTGCGGTGATGACTACGTTATTTGTATGGTATGGAGATTGTCGGTACTAGGGTACATGCGAGATTGGGTTAAAAGAGATGGAGACAAGGATTTTATACAGGTTCGGGCCCCTTATCTGACAGGTAATAGCCCTACTCCTGTTGGCCGAAGCCGGTGTTTCCCTTTATTCATCTAGACAAGTATGGATACGATCCGAGTAGTCTCTGTAGTTTCCATATAGAACTCTACTTGTCCTTCCTTATCCGGAACTCCTTCTATATACGAGGTATGATTCTGTATAAGACTTGGTATATGGTGGGCCCCGCTGAGCTTAGTTGATTACTATTGGGTATGTGGTATCGATAACCATGACACATGTCAACATCATGTTAGCCAAAACCACCATCCTAACCTCCTTAGGATCTTATTTGCACTGGTTTTAGGAGTTGAGGAACATGCCATATCTGTTATTGTGGTTTAGTGATGAATTTCAGATTCGGGGACAACTTATGTTGTGTTCGGGAGGTGGTAGTTTATTAATATATAATTAATTAAGTATTAGCTAAAAATAATTTGAAATAGATTAATATAATTTTTAAGAAACTTTCGTATAAATAATTTTTGCAAAAAAATGCACCGTTTAGAAGTTTGAAAAGCGTGCATGTAAAAAAATGAGAGAGGTGAGAAGAAAAGAACTCAGCCTTAAGGGACCTAAACTGAACTTATTCCGTGCGCTTACACGTGGCCCATGAGGCAGCCCAAATGTGTGGCGGCCTGGGAACGGTGGCCGATGCGGGTGAAGCCGGAGCCGTCCGATCTGATCGACGGTCCCGATTGATCCGTACCTGTACAGAAGTTCTGCAGCCCAAACCCTAACCCTAAATCATTTCCCCTCCCCCCTCTCTCTCTCAAAATGACAGCGTCAGCGGTGCCTCTCCCTCTCCGCCGCAACGGCGCCGCTCCCCTTCTCCCTCCCCCACCGGTGGCGCTGCTCCCCCTCCCAGCACCGGTGGCGCCGCTCCATCTCCCCCCTCCCTCCCGTTTCGTTCACACGGCGCTGCATCGGCGAGTGCTCGACGGGGGTAAGTCAGCGACGACGACCACCCTCACTTCCCCTCTCCCCATCGGCCTCGATGGTGGGGCTACGGGGCGGGCCATCCTTCTCTCTTTTTCTCATCTGCCTCCGAGCAGGAGGAGAGCGCCGGAGGATGGGGCGCCGGGGTAGAGGGAGAGGGTGCCGACGCGGTTGGGGAGGCGGTGAGTGTGGCCGTGCCTGGCGGGCGTGACCACGATAGGAGCGCAGTGGACGGCGATGGCGACGAGCTAAGATCAACCGGATCGGGTGACATTAAGCTTGCCCATTTATGTGATTTTTTCCTCTCCTTTTTTTCTTTTTTTCTAGGGTTCTCGATGCGTATATCTGTTCGAATTGATTCTTTTTTCACGTAGATTTACCCGTTTAAATTTCTATGGAGCTCCCCAATTGAATTTCGTACCGATCTTTGATTTGATTTTGTGTGTTTTCTATCGCACATGATTGGCATATAAAGTGATGACGGAGGAAACATTAGCGCCATGACGGATGAAAACGCGGACACAGAGATGTGACGATCGGAAAGTTACGAATTTTTTAATTAGTTAAGATTAGTGTTTTTTTATCTTTAGGAAATTTGTATCGTGTCCAATAAAAATTAGTATAAACATGTGGATATAAATATATATACCCGGGATTTTGTAATCTATCTCTCGATCGTTATACAATTTTCGGCGCATTGCCAATTTGCCATCTCCTATTCCAGCGAGTCATTCGTTTCGATTTATCAATCTAGGAAACAGGAAAGTACATCCGTCCCCCATGGCCGCCGCCACCAGTGACCACCTCTCCGGCCTCCCCGACGACGTCCTCCGGCACATCATCTCCTTGCTCTCCGCCAAGGAAGGCGGCGCCACCGCCGTGCTCTCGCGGCGGTGGCGCCCGCTGTGGCGCCAGGCTGGCACCGTCAACCTGGACACGGAGCCCTACTTGGACCCGGCGGCGTACAGAGGCAACAACTTCCCGGAGCACAGGCGGAGCGCGTTCGTCGACCACGCCCTGGCCGCCCTCGCCGCGTGCGAGAGCCCGAGGATCCTGAGCCTTCGCCTCGCGTCGGAGGAGATCGAGGGAGGCGCGGCCGAGGAGAAGTGTGCCGGTGTGGTCGACGCCGTCCAAGACGCCCCGGCGGCGGCGCGCGTCGAGGAGCTCCGCGTCCGCTGCGACGTCTCGTGGTTCTGCAGGTACGGCAGCTGCGAGAGCGGGAGCTCCGGCGGAACGTGGCGGCTGCAGCTCGGATCCCTGCCCTGCGCCGCCGCCACGCTCCGCGTGCTGCACGCCAACGACGTCGGCGTCGAACGCCTTGGCGACGGTGGCGGCGTCGGCGTCGTTCTCCCGCTCCTGGAGGAGATGCGGCTGGTAGAAGCCACCGTGTCACCGGACACGCTCCAGCGCGTGATCGACGCCGCGCCGAGGCTCGCCAACCTGTGGCTCGACGGAATCATCCTCACGAGCAACGACGGCAGCCGGAGACTCTACCTCGCCGACGGCTTCCGCCTCCAGCTCCGAGGCCCGGCGCTCACCGAGCTAGCCCTCATCGAGTACTACAGTAGAGACGCGGCATCGAGCTCGACGCGCCCCGCCTGCGCTCCTTCGTATGTCAAAGCTCCTTCCCGGGGCACTACTCACTGACATCGCCGGCGCCGGACTTCGCATCCGCCGACCTTCACTTCCACGACCACCGGAGCTATGGCGACAAAGATCCCAACAACTTGACCGTACCCTTATGGAGCTGCCTCCGGCACCTGCACGGCGTGAGGGTCTTGAAGCTGCAGCTAGACTTCTATGCAGAGTACATCACCATGGAAGCCGACGCTTGCGACGGCGGCGGCGTCGTCCCCGCCACGTTCCCTAACCTTGAGTATCTCGAGCTTGACGCCCATTGCAAGGATGATCACGACATGGCCACAGAATTGACAGTAGCAAGCGTTCTCCGATGGTGCCCTGCCATCCGTGACCTACGGCTCAGGTTGTCAGTAGCCGATGCTGAAGGCCGCGTCAATGTCTACAACAGCAAACGGCACATGATCCATCAGGCGAGATTGATGAGGAACAGCTTTGAACAGGATGTGCAAACCAAAATTGATGTTGATGTGACCAACATTACAACATCGTGATCGCCGTAGGAAACTAGAACACCAGACAGATTACGTCTGTGCTAGTAGGTTCAGTTCCATAATCATCTAATAATCGGAGTTGATAATTACTTTATTAGTGTATTTTTTTTGTTTTTGTATTTTTGGTGCAGCCATTGAGATTACATTAGACCATGGTTAGGATCAGCCAGCAGTTCATTTGTTACATCATTTTTACAGAATGTAGTTCGATTGCTCCAAAGCTTTTCATAATCCCTCCATTACGGGGTGGACACACAGTTTTGGACAGACAATTGGACAGGGAAAGGTTGCTTCGCCTGGAGGTGGCCGGTGTTGTTTTCCCATGTGAGCCGTGCCAAGCTGACAGTAGCTGATGCCCTGATTGCTAACAGATGGATTAACCGATTACAAGGTGCCTTGTCCAATGAAGCTCTGGGTGAATTCTTCCAACTTTGGGATGAAGTTCGCGACGTGTCACTGCAGCAGATGGCTGACACGATCAAATGGAAGTTGACTGCTGATGGTAATTTCTTAGTGGCCTCGGCGTATGATCTATTTTTCATAGCGACAGAGGATTGTTCCTACGGGGACACGCTGTGGCACTCCAGAGTGCCGTCGTGTGTTCGCTTCTTCATGTGGATTGCACTCAAGGGCCGCTGTCTCACGGCGGACAACTTGGCGAAGAGAAACTGGCCGCATGACGCCATTTGCTCCCTATGCCAACGCGAGAACGAAGACTGCCATCATTTGCTTGTGTCCTGTGATTATACGGCGGCGGTTTGGCGCAAGCTGAGACGTTGGTGCAACATTAACATTGCAATCCCTGCGGAAGATGGCAGGCCGCTTGCAGATTGGTGGATCACGACAAGATGGCGTTTTCAGAACACGTATAGGACGGATTTCGATAGTCTGTTCATGCTAATTTGTTGGCTTATCTGGAGAGAGCGAAATACAAGGATCTTTCAACACATCGCCAAGTCAGTTGACCGGCTAGCGGATGACATCAACGAGGAAATCGCAATTTGGAGGGCAGCATGGATTTTTTTCCCAGGCTAGCGAGTAGTCCCGATTAGAGGCGGGACTTGCACCATTTTTTCCTTTTCTTTCCGGGCTTAAGTTTGCTTGAGACCGGCACGACATCCTTCATGTCGTTGTAATTAAAACTTTATTTCCCCCAATCTTAATGAAATTGGCCAGCCTACCTTTGGCCGTCCCGGCAAAAAAAATAATCCCTCCATTCTAGACGAGGCCTTACTCAACTTATTTAAGTAGCATCACATACTACTATCCTCTTTGTTTTATTTTATAAGACATTTTAATATTTTTCTAAGTCAAACTTACTTAACTCTTTTTTAAGGTTTTCTGTGTTGAGACACCAATTTCAAAAACTTTTGGGTCTATTTTGATCTCAGATAAACCTCATCTCTTTCTCGTAAGATTAGTCTAACTAGTATCAGTATACGTGATGCCTGCACTTATTTTTTTTGTTCTGAAATTAGGCATAATGAGTGCCTGATATATTAAAAAACAGCATTCTTATATTTACAAGGATTTTTTATATATACATATTCACTACTTAGCATGTTAATTCCGTTTACCTACCTGTTACATGCATTGTTCAGTAGCAAGAAAGTTAAGAAAGAGGTCCATCCTTCTTCCCAGTACATTCATGAGCACAATGCACTTAATAAAGGTGATGTTACTGATGTTAAATATATTGTTTTACTGACCTTCATCTTACACCTGTTTGCTATACATCTAACACCGCTATGCACGCCTAGTATAAACTAACAAAATCATGACATTACTTCATACTGTTCCCCAAACCCCATCAGAAAACAGGCTTCAGACGTCTCCTGCATATATGTAAGGACATTATGTTTACAGAAGGCTTGAAACTTTTCAATGCGCTTTGAATCTGATTATGTGGGCTCTCTGAATCTGATTTTCATATTTTCTTTGAATGCCCTTTCAGCAAACTAACTTGGTTGATCTCTGAAATTAATCTGCATACATTTATCTAGGAGGACTCTTGAGCCGTGTTACTTTGCTAAATGAAATAGAAGACACAATCTTATGGTAAAGGAATAATGTGGCCACATATTCAGCTAAAAGTGCTTATCTCTTTCAATTTATTGGTTCTCAGCAAGACAAGGTTTTCCTGTTGAACTGGGAGGCGTCGATGCTTCCAAAACAAAAATTCTTAGGTTGGCTCATTCTACACCACAAGGTTCTAACAGCCAAAAACATGCTGATTTGACACTGGGAGTGTGACTGGATTTACCCCTTATGCCCCTTATGTAGAGGAGCATTTGAAGATACTGACCACTTGTTTCAACAATGTGATTTTTTTAAAAGAAACGTGGAATCTTGTCCCTGCTGCTCAAGGTATTCAGAATAACCAGACTTATTGCTCCCTAAAAGAATGGATGTCATGTATCATGCAGAATGAAAGCAAGACAGAAGCAAGGAGAAAGGTGGGTGTTCTTGTAAAGACATGGTGGCATATTTGGCTCCAAAGGAACGCAAAGATCTTCAGAGGAGAAGAACCGGATGTGCAACAGACAACACACCAGATCATCCAAGATATTCAAGAAAGCAGTTTTGTATTCCAACCGCCATGATTGTATTTCTTCCCCTATCAAACCATGATATATGGATTTGGGATGTTTCTAAATTGTTTCGTCGCATCAATTGTGTAATCGTGTAAGCCGTCTATTTCTCTTCTTCTAATATATTCCGCAATGAGCAATTTTACGGTCCTTGAGGAGGTACCATTTTTTTATTATAAATTTGGTACATCTTGGTACCTAGATACTATGAAGTACCATGAGGTACCAAATTTTACACTAAAATTTTGATACCTCATGGTACCTCCTCAAGGACCGTAGAATTGCTCTTCAGCAATACTCTTGCCGCTTTCCTTCAAAAAAAAAAGAAATTAATCTGCATACTGATCATTTTACAGATAACGTCTCCATGTCTCATATCATTGCTTATATAACTAACAATGGATCTAATCAACCACCTTGAATAGAATTCTGAATATTATGTGGCAGATTTGGAAAGCAAGGAATGATCTGAAGTTTCAGGGCTTAGTTAAAGAGCCCACTCAGGTGTGTTTTGCAGCAGAAGCCATGGTAAGAACTTACACCATCTACTCAGCTTACAACATATTGCAGGATGAGCTTCAGGAGTAGGAGAGCTGCAACAAAAAGATGGATAAAATTCCAAATGGTAATAGGTGCTATGTTGATGCAGCTTGGGAAAACAATTTAACTGGAGTTGGAATCTTTTTTCCATTTTCCTTCTTCTCATAATGCCCTTTTCATCAAAGCAACAAGCAATCTGGCCCAATCACCTTTGCAAGCTGAGCTGATAGCTCTTCAACTTGCTATGGAAATTGCTTTCTTCTTGAATTTTGCAGGTACAACCTTTCTGACGGATAATGCAACAATTGCAGCACAGCAAAGAGAAGGAACTTTGATGACGACCCTGGACATTGGAACCTTAGACCGATTTGGAGTCAAATGAGATCAAGAACCTCAGATTACTTGCAGAACATATCCTGGATTCCCAGGGAAATCAACAAGGTTGCAGATAAGAGCGAGTACAATAGCGGAATATAAGTTAGCTATAAGCACATGTGGATGGGATAAAAGAAGAGAGAGAGAAGGAAAGCAGACTACAGATTTGTAGCCAACTACAGCATGGACTTCAAAATGTTTTGTGTGTATGAAAGATGGGACCATATAGTAATGATGCAGTACATATTTATATGTGACTATTGTATGAATGGGCTATTAAATTGGCTATAGATGATTTAGAGTTAATAGTTGGCTATGCTATTAAACTTGCTCTAAAATAGCAAAGGAAGCAAATTCCCAACATCTAGCTGATCCTGTCTTCAATTGTCAAAACATTTCACACATAGCTTATCCCTCGAGGCAATGTTTTGCCTCTAGTTTGCAATCTAATTACAACATTCCTCCAAGATGTACTATCAAACATGTCCTATGTTTCTAAGGTGAAATGAATCTGAGTTTTCAAAAAAAGAAAAAGAAAAAAAACTCAGAGCGCCCAACGATGGCAGGTTTCGCCTATAAACGAATTTGCTCTGCAGTCTCCACTCTGCAACCTTGTCGCTCATATCCACATGGTTCTGGAAGAACTGTGCTTCGTCATAGACGTGCATCTTCCCGGGAGCCATGGCATTCTCCGCCTGGAACTTGGTGAGCTGGTCCTGGAAACAGTTGAGTTTCTTGGCCGTGAATTTCAGTGTCACCTTCCTCTCGAGGGTTTTCTCCGAGCAATAACGATCGAGCGGCTGTAAAGTGATTGCTCTACTGTAGTTTTGTTTGTGTGTGCTTTGCAGACGTGATTTGTGGGGTTGGGAACTATTATCAGAATTGGCTTGGTTGCCTGATGGATGACCATTTCGGTCATTCCGGTCCCCTCCGAAACGATATTAATTCGGCCGAAATTTTTAAAATTTTCAATTTTTTCATGAATTTGGGTAATATTTGTTCAAATTCAACTAAAATTTGTTCAAAATTTCGGACCGAAATTTCTGAAATTTCTGAAATTTCGGGATTTCGGTGACCCCCGATCAAAACCACTAAACCGATATAGTGAACCCTGCCATTACATGGTGTGAAACAGACCTATGTGGACCGGGTTATCGAACGATGTCATTGACTATGCTTCTCGAGTGGAAGCAGTGCTTGTGGACGCAAGTAGCCAAAGAGTTGGAATTAAGAGATGTGAAAAGATGAGATGGGCTGACATCTTATGATTATGGTAGGTGAAAAGAAACTAATAGAGAAAAACGGAGTCGAAAATTGCTTAAGAGCAGAAGGCTATGAGCCGGTGTCATAGTTAGGCAACCTGCAAAGTAATGGGCTTCTTGAGTAATTTTAATCAGCATATATAATTACTGATGTAGCACTCTATATCGGCTATAATATTTTTCTAAGGGTGATATGCATTAATATTGACTATGAATGCCTCTAAATATTGTATGTATGTTTAGTGGTAATGTAAGAATTTTAATCAGAGAGGCAACTTATTTCTGGATCGTTTGAGGCCTAGAGGCGGGTGAATAAACGAAATTATAACTTTAAACAAAAGTGTGAAACGGAAACTAGTCAGGTATCTCAGCCACTATTGGAGTTTCCTATTACTAAACGGAATTTCCTATACATCTGCTGCGAGTTACAAAACAAGTGGATTACTCACTCACGTTTACCTCGTGGAAACAACCCAAGAACAAGAAATAAGAATATATAGTATATGTGTGTGTGGCACATTTGGAGGAAATTGAGGAAGACAGGAAGTGCATCATGACAGTAAGGCCAGCAGAGGATGAGATAACTTGGCATTGGACACCAGACGCTGAATACTCAACCACAAAAGCTAGCTGACCGGATACAGTTCATCGGATAATTATGCTGTCCGTTTTATTATGTTGGTAAAGCAGGACACTGCAAGGACATGGGAACACCAACACGAACACACGATCACCTTAAAAACATAGAGTAGTTGTTTCATGTATAGTAGTACTAAACTTGCTAAGCTTCAAATCCCCCGATGTGTAGAAATTAAATGGAACGCGAATTCCTCCCCCATCATCGATGGATCGATTAGTGCCCTCTTCCAGGGATTGGCGGGCAGGAATGCTGGACAGCCGCTACAATCACAAAGAAGGAATTTAATTAACCAGCAAGAAAAGCGAATTAATTAAAGACGTAATTTGCAGCCAAACCATCTTGTGTCTATTAGAAATAGAAGCGGTGTTTAGCTTACGGTTGTTCGAGCAGCTGCTTGGTCCACCTCCTCCAAGGATGCCGCCGACAAAAGCCAGTAAAACGATGAGGACGAGAAGCAGCTGAACGGAGGTCGACAAGTTCTTTGCCATCGTTACTGACGCGCAGTATTGCTCTTTCTGAGATTGGAGAGGCGAGCTACGGCGCCCAGGAATTCAGGAATTGGTGGTGGGTGCTCGATGCTCCAAATGCAGTACCAGTTCCAGCACTTATAAAGCGTAGCCTCCATATGCATATTCAACCAATAACCGATCCATATATCTTTAATTTGTCGGAAAGTTGGTTAGGTGGAAATGTGAAAGAAGGAACTAGCTAGTGGACGGAGGTAATGCTATATTATCTTATACTATCTTCAAAGTTCATTCCCACCAAATATAATTAATGTTAATTCTTACATATCCCATGAATTTATACTCTTCGTCCGGAAAACCACACCATGCATCTTAATATTTACAACCTTGGAATAATTGATCACAGGTATAATATAATAAGGCAAATTTTGCTACAGGACATCGTGACTTTACGGTTTTAGCCGTAGGACACCGCACAAACTTACTTTTAGAGGAAAATAGTCCATAATCGTGGTTATTTGATAGTGGACACCGCATGGCTTAAAGTAATGTATCCGTGCCGACGAGGCACTAGGGGGCCTGATATTTTACGCAAAGTGACCGAAATACCCATGTGAAGGTGACGTGGTTCTCGTGCGGGTCCACGGTGCTTAGCCTCACGGTGCACCACCGCATCGCTGACGGGCAGGCCACAACGAGCTTCCTAGTGGCGTGGGGGCTCGCTACGCGTCGGCTACCCATCGGCATGGCGGTGCCGCCACTACCCATCCGCGACCGTGCCACCCGGTTCATGCCGCAGGATCCGCCACTCGTCGAGTTCCCAAGACGGAGTACAAGGCGTCGCCGCTGGCCTCGTCGGGGCTCCCGCCATTAGGCGCGGGCAGGGATACACCACCTTCGGCGCGGTGACCATATCGCGGGGACTCGGCGCCAGCGAGACTGCCGCCACCACCACAACCACCACCAGGGTCCGCACCACCGTCAACGGCTGCACCGCATGCGCCCGCTGGTCCTGCGTGACTACTTCGGCAACCTCGTGCTCTGGCTATTCCCGCGCTGCGATGTTGGCGAGCTCGTCACCCGCTCGACGCACGACACCGCAGAGCCCATCCACCGCGCCGTCGCCGGGATTGACGACGCCTACTTCCGCTCGTTCGTCGACTTCACCTCCTCCAGAGCCGTCGAGGCGGACGGCCTCATCCCCATCGCCGACACCGCTGAGGTGGTGGTTTGCCTGGGACGGCGATGGGCATTTTGGTCACTTCGTGCAAAATAACGGCCCCCTAGCGCCTTGTCAACACGGATACATTATTTCCCCCAAAAGTGAGTTTGCAAGGTGGCCTACGGCTAAAACCACAAAGTCGCGATGTGCTGCAGCAAAATTTGCCATATAATAAATAACACATGAAATAAAATTGTTTAGCAAGATAATAAAAGTTTCAACCCAAATCAATTATTTTGACTTACAATCACTATAAAATAAAATTTTCCAGATGGCTTGCATGCGGGTGAGCCGCGCGTTTACCTGAAAGTGTCTGCAAAAATCATTATTTTGCGTGCGGGTGGCACACCCGCATACGAAAAGCCGATTTCGCGTGCGGGTGCTTACGTTGTTCACACGAAAAAAAAATAAAATTCTGAAAAAAAATAAAAAAACTCAAAAATTTAAAAATCAAACCCTAGGTAGATCCCATCCGCATCCTGATGATGGTGGCGACGCGGGTCAGGTGGTCGCAGGGACGGTGGCGGTAGATCCGACTGTCGTGGGGCCGGCGGCGGCAGATCCACCGACTGCTGCCCACCTGAGGTCACCGAGCCGCCTGCGGCCTCCCCAGCTCGAGCTTGCCGCCACCACCGGCCATCGCTGGGCTGAGTGCGCTGCTGCTTGCCACCGGCCTCCCGAGGACACTTGAGCCCGTCGTCGTCGCCACTAGTCGTTGCAGGGCTGTCGTTGCGAGGCCAAGCCCACCGCCAGTTGCGCGCTCCCACTGCCTCCGGCTAATGAGAGAGAGGAGAGGTGAGACAGATGGAGAGAGATGAGGATAAATAGGATAATGATTTAAAAAAATTGAAATGCCGAGAGAAAAAAAAAGGAGGAGGTAAGTAGGTAGATATTTAAGAGGCACACCTAGAAAAATAGGCTTATTTTTTCATGCGGATATGTTAAAGGTCCGTCTGCAAACATTGATTTTTCGTACGGGTATCTGATCCAGCCGTTTGTGAAAATGCTGTTTTTTTTTTCCAGGTGCGACCAATTACGGTTCACATGCAAGGTTGTCGTGGTGAAATCTCCGGCAGCTACGCGGGCATTCCAATGTACGAAGTAGTTGTTAAGTGATGTTAGTACCTTCTAGAGTAAAAATACTGATTCCAAAAAAATACCTGAACGACTTCATTTGTGCCGCAAACTATCAGCAGCATCCACTACTCGTCGATAATTTATTAGTACTTGGTATTTGGTAACAGAGTGATATTTCTCTCAATCTTCCAAATCTTGGGTGGCATGCATGTCAAAAAAAAGCAGTCAACTACGTAATCCGATCATCGAATCAGTCTGCTTCACCATGACGACCCCACTAAAATGGAGTTTGGTGTTGTTTGGCCGCCTGTGGTTGGTGAGTGGCTTCAGCTGTGCCTTCGTGGAGAAAAAGTATGGTACGTCGAACTTAAAACACAAGTCATGCATCCGAATGAGAACGCACGCGTCTGACCTTGACTTTCTACAAACGTTTGTTGGCATATCTGGGCAAATTCGAGTTGGAGTATTAGCCAACTGACCAAAGAGGGTACGGTACCTACCTACATACCTTAACTGCCAGATTACTCCTGCATCAAACCGTATCCTCTGAACATTGTACAGTAATATCACGGCATGACATTCCTTCAATCCAAACCATCCATTCTAAATCAACCGCCACAGATTAATTGGTATCTAACTAATCAAGCTAATTAACAGATTATGTAGTAGGTATGTACTTAATAGGCTTTTTTTTGTTAGCACTAAAGCAGTCTCTTCATCTTCATTAAACATTAACCCATGGGTTTGTAGATTCAGAATTGCCTCGTTCTGACGGAGGATGGCAGCACAAAATTGATGCACAGGATTCACTTCCTCCAAGATAATTATCCAATCGCTGCATCTAACAAGTTAGTGAAACCTAATTATCATCCTGTACTAGTTATTTGACGATTCTTCCACCAGTCAACGATATTTGCCTCTTGAAAATGCAATATCTGATCTAGGGATAATTTATAACTACACAATCCACTAATTAGTTTGATTAATTGGATGCCAAATAATCTACGGCCGTTGATTTAGAATGGATGGTGTGGATTGAAGGAATGTCACACCGTGACATTACTGTATAATGTCAGAGGATACGGTTCCCCTGTGCATTGCTACGCCAGCATACAATTTTACAATGAGCGTTAAAATAAAAAAATAAAGAAAGTGGAAATACCGATAATGGTGATAACACTCTCTGCCTATTATGCATCTTGTTAAGTAGTGCATGAATTAATAGATGAGATAGATGAGCTTTAGCCCGTTTGAAAATTATTTCTTTGAAAAATTAGAAAAAAAAACTCACCTCATGAGATGGCTTGCATGAGGATGTTGAGTACCACCTTACCTATTTTTTCAAAAAAGACATGTGTGGTGGAGAGAACTAGAGAAACACACACTTGCATGGCCCGTTAAAATTGGTTTCTTATCACGCATCATGTTATCTCTATATAAACTGAGCCGTTGTCTCCTCTCTCCTCTACACCGCATCGTTGGTCTACTCCAGCATGCACCGATGATCGCGAGAGCAAGTCTCTGGAACTCTAAGCCTTTGACATCCTGCACTGGGAGAAAATGACAATAAGAATTTTGGGAAGTCGCGCTCAGGCCATGACTGCTTGCTCTTTGTCCACCATGTAAAATCAAAGTGTGTTTGATTCTTATTCTGTGATGAACAATCAACATTTGAGATTATTGGTTTTGATATTTGGAGACTATTGGCGAAGTGGTTTTGGAGATGATTGGATTTGCAGGTGATGAACAGGTGCTGCTGGAGATTTGGTCCGGTCAGACCAGGCAAGGGTTGCCGGTCAGACCGGCGTGCTTCGAGCGGTCAGACCAGCTAGCTCATGGTCTGACTGGCCAACTCTGTGTCGGTTTCGGTTTCGGGTTGTTACTTTGGATACCCGTGGATAATTTGTGTTTATGACTTCTAGATGGATATTATGCGTATGTAATACTGTTGTTTGCTAACAATGAGTCGAGTTAGAGATAGCTTGTGCTCGGAATATGGTTTCTTGGTTGATTCATGTGTAGGTTATCTTGATGCCTCGGCAGAGTGTTGCCGGTGATGGATCAGGAATCAACTTGGGGATAAGGTGACGTCCGGGCAGTCAGATATCATGCGGGATAATTAGGCTAAAGATCAATGCACATAGTTGGTGAATATTCCATATGGCATACGATGGAGTTATTGTGTGCGTACGGGATGCGGAGTCGAATTTGAAGGGAGTCCAAATTTGGTACAATTGGAGTTTGTAAAGTTAGTTTCATCTACGGGAAGGTTTCCTAGGGATTAGGACTTCTTGTACAAGTTTGGTTCGTGGCTTTAGGCTGCCTACCTCATGTATAAATGGAGAGGGTGGGTGTGGCCTCCCGTTATCGCTTTATAGAGCATTGAGTTGAGAGAATAATTAGAGTTTCGAGTTTAGTTGAGATTTTTGTGAGGAGTGTTGTTGTTGCACTTTGTAAACACAGAGAGAAGCAATAAAGTTGCCATCTACTTTGAGAGTTCTTCGATTTATGTTTGCTCGGGTTCGGCGGCCCAACCGGCGAGACATCACCGGTCAGATCGACCACAATGGACCGCTCAAACAGACAGAGTAATGGCGGTCAGACCGGCGGCGGCTACATGCGACGATGGTTAATTTCAGCGGTTAGACTGGAGCAACTACAACGGTTAGACCGACGGCTTCCAGGTAGTTAGACTAGTGCATATACTCCGGTCAGACTGTGTGTCATCGAATTGAGGGTAACTTTTAATTCCACTAAAAGTTTTGGTTTTTTGAGTACTACAACCATTCACCCCCCAACCTGATTGGCTTAGTTATTGCTGTTCG